TTCTGCCTTGTTGTGTTTAGATATATGCTCTTATAAAATAAAAAGTAACTGGATTTGACTTTTGAAAACAGGACAAAGTGTTTTCTTCTGACATTAATGTCATGCCTGCATGTGTGGATGCACACAAACACAAGCGGTGAGACCCCAGCATGCTTCCTGCTGTCCAGCTGTCCACCTTATTGCACTTCACTGCGTGCTTTTTTCACGCTCCGTCCCGGTCCTGCTGGAGCTGTCCCGCAGACATTCCCCTTATAATACACACCGATAAACCCTACACACAAAAAACAATGAGCTGTGAGTCTGTTTGCTGATGTCATTCAGTTTGGCACTTGTGCGTTGTTATGTTTTTTAGTGCGTTTGCATGTTTCCATGTGTGTGTGTTCACTGAGCTAGAACAGGGAGCATTAGGAGGTGTCTTTTGTTGCTCCTGGGGGGGCTACTGTGCTCAGTCCTAATAGGAGTCTTGTGCCTGCCATTGTCCCAGGGGAGGGCTTCTGAATAAGGGGGTCTAACTTCACACACACATGCACACACCCCCTCTCCATCCCCAGCTCGAGCCCGACCTCCCCCACCACCCTCTCCCTTCCCTTGGGACTGGCCGAGAGACAAAGAGGGAGTGGGGTTGGGGTGGGATGGGATGTTTGAGGGGGTGCACTGTGGCCCCTGTCTTATTAGAAGGGTCGTGAACGTGTCACGATGATTAATATGCCGAGGTGCGCGGGGATACCCTAGAGTCACATTCATTCAACACGAAGGCTCCCAAACACACACTCACCACAAAATGGTACATTTGCATTTCCCATTAAGAAAAGAAAATATAGATATATATATGCAAATGAAACTCCTATTTAGGTTTACACCATTATGCATTGGCCATTTAACAATAACAATAGATGACCATTTCTCTCTCTGCCGCATAGTAGTTGTGTTTTTGTTTTTTTCAAGTGACTGACACATGTATACAATGCGCACACAACTGCCTTTCAAGTGTTTGGATAAGAAGTTAACTTTAATGAAATCTTCTTTAAATGTGAGCTCAGTATAAGTGTGAAGTTTTAAACCTAAAACGTGGTTATGGTTAATTCAGAGAATTGTGCCAGATTATCTAGCATCATTCGCTGTAAAGCAATCGCATCATCCAGTTTACTTTTGTACTTGGCTGCTGGTTTTGACCTAACGATATGAAGAAGCTAAGCTGCAGATAAGCATGTTATGTATTATTTCCTGTTGTAATGATTGCGATTGCAGTAAGGCTGCATCAGGTTAGTTTTCTACTGGCAAAGTTCACCGGCTGGGGAAGCACAAGAAGCAGCGGCACAGAGATCAGAGGCTTCGAGAAAGCAGAACTCGCCACTCTTATCTCCTTTTTTCACGTGATGTGCAAATCAGAGATAAATAAATATCCATTTATTTAATAAAGATTCTACCATTTTTACCACATACAGTAATATAACATTTAGGCACCCTCTCTGGTAACATTCATTCTATAAGTATACTATTTCTTTATCTCTCCATCTGTTGTCAACAGTTCAACTGGCTCAGTTCTCCAGTTCCCCTCTGTAACATTACTGTGTGTGGTTATTAAAAGCATTTAAATTTCAAATGGCTGGCAGTTGCATTAAAACAGACAGATGGCACGGTGAATAAGCCCTTATATTCTACAGTATATCTCCCCTTATATGTTTGTATAAGAGGCTGTGGTACGCAGGTACCCAGGGAGTCCACCAGATGTTTGATAGGCTTACCTGCAGGCCTGCTGCGTGTTGGCAGTAAAATTCATGCGTTGCATATGCTGCAATGATACCACAGGGAAATAAGCTGCTGTAATAATCAAGTAGGCTGGAAACATGAGGAGGAAAATCAAACAAGCCTGTTTCCTTTGGAAAAACACAGCGTCTATATATTTCACTTGGTTTCTGCTTGTTTTTTAATGTAAAAGGAATGATCTTACTGTACAGGGACTACTCTCCATCTTCATCATCAGGTTGTCTGAAGAGAGAGGTTTTTTGCTCCTGACCACATTCCTGCCCTTTAGCATTATATAATTATTACTGAGTGTTCAAAATAAAACCATCCTGTAGATGCAATAGACATATGAGCATTTTGACACCAATGCAATATAACACCACCATAGTTAATTCATGTAGAGGGATCAAATGTCCCAAAGGTTTTTTGAACTTTACAAATCAGCCTTGCTCATTTTGCACAAATGGAGAGCTCTGCCAAGAAGTGAGCTTAAGTGTAATTAAGCGTCAAGCATTCACTTTCCATCATTTGCTTGCTATTTGCGCTTTTACAGGATCTAAAAAGGTACAAATTGATTTTACCTATCAATGTGGTCATTGTTTAGCATGACGTAGCTCATATGTTGTGCATGTGTGTTTAATAACCGGGGTCCTAATTGGATCACAGTTCACAGGTCCTGCTTCTCAGGTTACTTTTTCTCAAGAAGGTGTACTATTTCAGCTGTGCAGTGTTCGCTTGGTTGGTTTTTCCCCAAGAACTCCACAAAAGCAATGAAAACTGTTTAATATTAAAGAGCTGGTGTGTGTGTGTGTGTGCCAATCTACAGCGACTGCAAACTACAAAAAGTTGTAATCCTAAGTAAATCCCAGGCAAACTGCAGAACCATTAACTCCCAGTTTTGTGCTGATGAGCAAACACAACGCCACCCACATTAATTGCTGTGACCCACCAAAAGGAACATTGACATATTGTTTGTCCAGCGTGAGACACTGTATAATTTACACTCACTAATGACTGTGCTTGGAAATACAGGCTGAAGGACCACGTCTGTCTCCGGCTTGGCCCTTATTCAATGTTCGTCATGGACTCTTCTAATGGATAGTCCATCTGTACCTCAGTGAATTCATATCCCTCACTGCATACACATAATTAAATTACAGCACTTGTTTCGTATAAAATAACAGCCTGGTCCAGTGTTCCCCCTTGGTCAGCTGAGGTTTGATGAACAGTTCACTATTGTCTGGAGAATCTCCACCCTAATGAAAACAAAATCAAACTGGATGAATTAGCACTGCTGTGTCTCCAAAATTTCAAATGGTTTGGTGGTGAAAAGGTGTGCTGTGAAGAAAGACATATTAGCATTGCCATAGGGTTGACCTTGACCTTCAAACTCAATCTAGCTATTAGGGCTGCCCCTCCCCAGCACCCCTGAGATGTAAAGAGGCTGACAGTTTTGACCCCTGATCCCATTTCTTAACTATGCTGAGGTGCCAAATAACCTTTTGACTCAGGAAGCATTTGCAGGTTGCCTGGGTAACCTCAGATTTAGCAATGATTGACAGGTTGTTGTTTTTTTTTTGTATGCTTTTTTCTAAAAGGAGAAGCAACAACTCTCTTTTTAAGATAGGAGTAGAGAAGAGAATAGCAGGAGGTGATACAATATTTGCTCACATTTGGAGTTGTAACTTCCAGTATGTTCAAAGAAAACTGGCAGATAAAATATTCTATTGTACTCTGCCGGCACATTATTATGCCAGATAGATGCAGAATAAATTTCCCTTAATAATTGAACGCTTTACATGGAAATTAATGTATGAATGCAACGGATGGGTGTCATTATATCAGATGGAGGTCTATGTAAATGAACCATGTGCAGATTTGACATGTGGTGCAAATCACAGAAACACCAGAGCGCAGGATCATGACAGGAATAAATCTGCCTATCTTAGGAGATGCCTTGTGTTCTTTGACATAACCCTCAATCCACACCAGAGATATATTTATGGGTAGGGAGAGCCTCTAAAAAAACTTTGGATGTTTTAATTTTGCTACTTGTAATGTCATAGTAGGCCATTTCATTACGGCTGACCCAGGGGAATCTAAGGTTACCATCTGGCTGCTGGCCACCATTACTTATCCTTGTTTTAATATGCAAATGTATCTGTTTTTCCAACCATGCTGAAATCACAATTGTAACCTGACTTAATGGACCAAACAACAGGACAACCTTCATGCAGATATGGCAAAAATGAGCAGTCAGACTTAACAACTGGTTTGAATTATACTTTTTGTCTGTAAATTACACTCAAAGTATACGTAAATTATTGTAAAATCAGGACTGCAGCTAGAAAACAACCACATTTCATAATAGCAGTGGATTACTGCACACCACCCTCCTTAATACATTCATTGGATTTACATAAAAACATGTTACCACTTCTCAGCGGCATACACATCTGTGGTTGTCTTTGGCTTTAAAATCAATGTGCAACTTTTGTTAAGGTTCTGGGCCCAAAAAATTAAACATTAAGAAAAGTGCTGTGTGTACCTGCTTTTTGCTTTACTCCAGTTTGATGAGACACATGTAGCTTAAAACCTTTGCTGATGGATTATGTGCTAAATCAAAGACTTACAAGAATTATACCTGCCTTTACCACTCATCTTTGTTTCATGCAGAATATAGACATGTATTAGAGGATATTTTAGCATTTTAGTAATTAAACTTTTCTGTCTGCTGTTTGTGTGTTATTCAAATGTCTGAACTAATAATAGTAAGACAACTAAGAAATCTACTTTATACCTTTGGAACTTAGTTTTTTCTTCTTCTTCTTGAAACCCTTACTGCTCATCTGGTCCTCAGGAAGTGATGTGTTCAACTTTTCAGTGAGTGGTTTGTTTGGAGTTAGTTAACAGCTGGAGAGAGGACCTGACACATGTAGCAGTAATGTTTATCACCGAAGATGGAGGCAAAATAAAAATGTAAATTATGTAGATAAAATTCTATTTGGTACACAAATTGAAGCAAAAAGCATGTTGGTCCAAGAGGACTTTTAAATTATTTTGGGATAATTTTATGCCTTTATGTAATAGATGAAAGTAGAGAGATGTCTCAAAAGGCCCTAGGTCAAACATCAACCAGGACAAGTGAGTCAAGTGCAATGTCAAGTGTTGTACTGATGATTTTGATGATACATGTATACTATGGCATCTACTGTATAGTACAAATACAAATGTGACTGTCCTCTTTCCCACAGCGGAGCCGCTGGTGCAGGTGAACGGGAAGCCGAGCTGCTGCTTTTTCAAGTTCAGCCCCAAACTAATGTTCACTAAGGTGCTGAAGGCCCAGCTGTGGGTGTACCTGCGACCACTGCAGCAGACCTCCACCGTCTACCTGCAGATCCTCCGACTGAAGCCTGTCACGGAGCAAGGCAGTCGCCACATCCGTATCCGCTCCCTGAAGATAGAGCTCAACTCCAGGGTCGGCCACTGGCAAAGTATTGACTTTAAGCACGTTTTGCAGAACTGGTTCAAACAGCCCCACACCAACTGGGGGATTGATATCAACGCCTTTGATGAGAGCGGCAATGACCTGGCAGTTACCTCGCTGAGACCCGGGGAGGAAGGCCTGGTAAGGACCCTTAGACCTGTTTGTGAAGCAGAGAGGATTTACCTCCACCAACAGCTCTCATTTATGCAGTTGTCAGTTCATATCCCAGTCTACTAAGGGCAGTCAAAATCATGTTAATGGAAAACACACAATTAAAAATATATTGAAATATGTATTGATAACTGGTCAAAACTAATGTTGATGGGAAGAAAACAGCACATGCACAGTTTCCTCTCTCTGTTTGTCTTTACTGCCAAGTCTGAAAGATGTAAAATAGAAAGGTTTAGGTAAGTATTTGCAAAAAATGAACAACTAAAGCATTAAAATCAGATTGTAGTGTTAAGGTAAGACACAAAACCTGCTTCAGACAGTCCTGGGCCAACTGGGAAATCAAACGTGCAGTGAATACAGGTAACATCATGTTTATTATTGTTGTCAGAGGTTTATTATCATTACCTGTTGTGTCTAACTGCTGATACTGAAAATCAGTGAAGATACGAAGCACATTTAAAATGTACTAAATGAAAAAGCACCAATTAGACATGAGCTCCATAAAAAAGATAATATTATAACTATAGGCGAAGCCAAGCAGTGGCCAGGGGTGGCCACCCTCAGAATCTAAGGGTCAACATGTGATGCTATCATTTTTTTTAAATCTAACACAATGTGCCATTTGAGTACAAATTCAAAGAGCATTGAAGGGACTAGACTTGTAAGTCAAAATAGAGTCAAAATATGATGCTTGTCTGCATTAGCGCATAAAAAATGGAAAAAATTATGATAAATTGTTGCCTTAAATAGAACTAACATTTTTCTGGTACTTTTTAACTGATTTTCTTTTATATCTTGAACCTAGCATGATGTCACTTTCGACTTTTCGCGTTAGCGAATCATCACACTGACAATTCGCATGTCGACATTTGACACGTGTTTTATGTTGACTGCCCTTCCTGATGCAACCCTGACTCAAACCTGGGCCACAGTGGCGAGAGTGCTGTGCCTTAACCTTGAACACAACTTGATATTTGCATTAATTTCAGATTGTGTTGTTGTGAAATACTTGACATAATTCTCCTCGGTGGGAGGGGACCACTGTGCAGCAGCATTGTTCACCTTAAATAGAACTAACATTTTTCTGGTACTTTTTAACTGATTTTCTTTTATATCTTGAACCTAGCATGATGTCACTTTCGACTTTTCGCGTTAGCGAATCATCACACTGACAATTCGCATGTCGACATTTGACACGTGTTTTATGTTGACTGCCCTTCCTGATGCAACCCTGACTCAAACCTGGGCCACAGTGGCGAGAGTGCTGTGCCTTAACCTTGAACACAACTTGATATTTGCATTAATTTCAGATTGTGTTGTTGTGAAATACTTGACATAATTCTCCTCGGTGGGAGGGGACCACTGTGCAGCAGCATTGTTCATGGCCAGGAGTAAATAAGGAGCACAGCCAAATTTAGCTAAAGAAAACTGATTCTTAATGTGTGGTTTATTTTTTCACAGAACTAGGGTGTTACTTTACTTTTTACATGTATTTCAAATGTGCCACCACTCTGAGTCTGTGCCCCAGCCTGGCCACCCCACCCAAAATCTTCTAGATCTACCCCTGATTGTAGCATCGATCAGAAAATAGCAAACACTGATATATGTGTGTGTGCAACTAACTGCCATTATCACGTGACACTTCACAGCCACACTCCTGTGTAGGCACAAATGTATTCAGACACCTGCTGCTGAGAAGTGACATGTGGTGATCTAGACTTACATTACTGATGAAAAATGATTCTGATGTCACAGGTTCATCCCAAACCAGGTGTTAGTAACAGTCTGGACATTTCCATGATCAGAAACTGGCACTTTGAAACCTGTAAGCTTATTAGACAAGTGGTCTACTGAAAACCTTCAACCCCAGCTGCTGTTTTCATGCCCTTTTTTATAATTGCTTCAAGTGACTTTCAATGGTAGTTCACATGTAGTATAAGAACACCGGAGAGTGTGTTGTCTTAACTTTATTTACCACAAAGTTTGTTATGTATTTTCAGTTTTATTTTCCTTTTTTTGTGGCTTGCTCTTTTCTTTCTTTGAGGTCATAGATGAAAATATTACCTAAACTGCTATTCTACTGAAAATGAAGGCCGGATATATGTTTTTTTTGTTTGTTTGTTTTGTTTATTTGTTTGTTTTTTTGTTGTTTTTGGCAAAATATAAACAGACTCTCTTGTGGAAAATGTGAAAAACATTTATTTTAAGCGAGTTTGGGCACTTCTTTTAAGGATTTTCACCTCGGGCTGTGGACCATTTGGGCCTCAAACTCTGTGACAAAGATTTTTTTTAAACATCCACAAAAGATATTATCAAACTAGCCTGATGAATGCAGGTGTAGGGATGAGATCAAATTTTACTATCAAGGCAAAACCATTCGTGAAGCTTTAAAGTCCCGGCATTACTGTGACTGACAGTTACAGTACATATAACATCTATGTCAAATTACACAAGCCAGTCATCCCAGTTAAGCAACCCTAAATATTTACCAAGTGGTCATGTAGGTCAGATCTTCACAACACATATCAGAGGTCAGCTCTGGTGTCTTGGCCAATAAGTCGCTGCCCTCTGAGCACACAGCGGTGTGCAATATTATTCTTGAACCAAAAAAAAGGAAGAGATCAAAACACAGGCAAGTGTACAAAAATAAAACAAAACACAACAAGCAAAAAAGAGTTAGACCCTGCTTTTCTGTGATCCGCTGGGTCTTTTTTTTTCTACAACAAAAGCCCTAAAGGCCAAACTGTCATGGTCGCACACTACAGCCTTTCAGCTTATTTCCTCTTTTGAATGCGTCACAAAAAATGTGCTCAAGCCCAGCTGGGATCACTGTGGGGAGAGGAAGGCTTTGTAAAACAAACATCGTGAATTAAAATATTTGATCTGCTCGCATTGCCTAAAGGTCAAGGTTATGGTAACCGGCAGATGACCTACTGGATGGCTGATCAAACCAAGCATATAGAGTCAGCCATCAGTATTACAAATGTCTAGTTCCTCTCAATGGTCTTTGAATTTGTGCTCAAATGGCACATTGTGTTATATTTAAGAAATGACAAATATGTTTTTGTTAAATGTCCAATGAGTAGATGATGCAGCTTAAAGCTTTTTATTTGTCCATTTTGCTCTTTCGGACTCATCACATTGTCAACTAAGTTTTCTAAGTTTGGGGAAAACCTGGAAGCCAGTTGGGATTCATGCTAAGATAAATCATCATCAGTCCTCTTTATCATCTTTTTATAAACTGAAGTGTTGGTGGGCCCCAGATTAATTTCAGTAAACAAATTACCAGACCTGACTGAAAACACTGGAAAATTGAAAAATAAGGGGCTTCACAGAGGCTAATTCCAACAGAAGCAAATTCCAAAATTTTTGTATGGTAATTGTCATAGCTGTTCTGTCATAGCTTGATTTTATTAATGTTCCTGAAGTGAAAAAAGAAAAAAACAACTGGACAGTTTTAGCTATATTTTATTCTAAGCAAAACTTGTAATTTAAATAAAAAAATGGCCAGATTTCTGTCAAAGTTTTAAAGTTACTGCACAGGCTCCCAAGATTGTGCTGTCTGTGTTTGGTCAGATGTAAAAGGCCAAATAAGATAAGATAATTTTATGTCGTTTAGTCGGAGGATGTTTTGAGGCATAATCCCAGAGAGGTCTCCATCCTTGAGTTGAACCTATAGCTGTGTATCATCTGCATAACAGTGGAAGTTTATATTATGTTAATGTATCATATGGCCTAACATAAGCATATAAATCAAAAATGATAAGGGTCTCAGGACTGACCCTGTGGTGCACCGTGAGAGGGGAACCACAGATGAAGAGAATTCTCCAGTTGTGATAGAAAATGGCCTGTATCTAAGATATAAGCATATATGAGAGTGGTATTGATCTTCTTATCTAAAGCTGAAATTTACTACACATAAACATCTTTGCAAACCTATACAGTGAAGTGTGTTATGGGCAACTGTAGGTGGCAGAAGAGCTGAAACACACATCTAAAATTCAGTCATTTGTAGGGCAGGCCTGCAGTATGCATCATGTACCTAACAGAATATTTGGTATCATGTCTGCAAGCTTTCTCTATTTTTTCTTTCACAGTTTGGGCACACATTTCAGCATTGCAATGTCACAAGTAATCTTTCAACAGAGATTTGGAAACTAAATTCTTCTTCAGGGAACTGCCCATCTTATCATTGCCTGTTCTTCATACCATATGGTGGTAAATCCAGATTCTCTCATTTTTGTTTCTTGAATGTAATGGTTTGTTTGCACCATCACAGTGGTGAAATTGGTTTATGTTTCCTTATTTATTCTACATTTTCTTTACATTTTGATTTGCTAAATATGACACTGTTTCCTAGTGGACATTCTGTATATATTATGGCCCCGATACCTACAAATGTAAAGAAACATAGGTGGATATGTCCGATTAACACCTGTGTACACTAATGAATATATGGCCCGAAGAAACAACTCCAGCTTAACTCTCATACAGAAAGAAAATAACAGTGATGCTTTTAATTTAGGTGAACAGAATTATTGGAATACTTAATTAATTACTTGTCAAATAATCGTATTTTCCTTAACTGATATACATGGTGTTGCTTTTTTTCTCTTATAACCACCTCCCACCTATTTCTGTCTGTCCTGCCCCTCTCCCCCTGATTCCAGCAGCCATTTTTGGAAGTGAAGGTTCTTGAGACAACCAAACGTTCTCGGAGAAATCTCGGCCTCGACTGTGACGAACACTCCACCGAGTCTCGCTGCTGTCGCTACCCTCTGACTGTGGACTTCGAGGCATTCGGTTGGGACTGGATCATTGCCCCAAAACGCTACAAAGCCAACTACTGCTCAGGCCAGTGTGAGTACATGTTCATGCAGAAATACCCACATACCCACCTGGTACAGCACGCTAACCCCCGGGGCTCCGCAGGGCCCTGCTGTACCCCAACCAAAATGTCCCCTATTAACATGCTGTATTTCAATGACAAGCAGCAGATCATACATGGCAAGATCCCAGGGATGGTGGTGGATAGATGTGGTTGCTCTTAGGCTGCAGAGGGAGACACACACCTGTGTGATGCTGCCATTGCATCAAAACACCCAAAACCCTTATGGGGTTCTCCCTTGGCACCAGAACCCACTCGCCTGCACCAAGTTTCACTCTTGCTCAGCCACACAACCCCACTGGGTTTCCATTTTTTCAGTAACAAAATTGATTGTAAGTGTAAAAAAAAAATTATAAATGAAATATAACTCAAAAAGGACTGAATGATGGAATTACAGTACATTGTGAATGATTTAAAGAGGTTGTACTTGTTGAGCAGCTTCAGAAAATGCTAAATGAGACAAAACTAAGTCATAGAGTATGTGTTAGTTTTGTGTTTTTTTATTGGCATCTTTGTGAAATGTCCAGGTAAATGGATTAAGACACATGAGCATTTACCATATTTTAAAAGAAATACCAGTCCTATAGTGAATCTGGTAATACCTAATTTCACAGATACAACTATATACGGGTGAGATTTGATCCACAAGGGGGCATGAATTGTTATGCAATCCATCACTTTAACAAAAAGAGCTAAATCCATGCTAATGTGAGGAGGGTTTACCGTTATCCTGAATCTTGTTTACAGATGTTGTCAGAGATGTGCTTTAGAGTTATTGAGAAAATCCAAAACAAACTTATACCTATTATGTATAACACCCTAGTGTGACATTCTCAACCATTTCACAGTTATGTTGTAACTGTAAAACTCAAAAAGGTAAAGGACTATTTTAACTTCATCTTTCACCGTGGATGCATGAAGTTGGTATAGCTATTTCTGCCACTATACAACAGTAGAGTACACAGATTTAGGTTTGACTTGCACACTAGCAGAACTGTATAATATAGATGCACTCTGAAGTTATTTGGCACCGTCTAGGAGAGAAGGAGGAAAAGTCCTGTACAGTGACAAGAACCTGACAGTTTTTGTTTCTTCTGCATAACAATGGAAAGTCAGTTTTGTTTAAAACAGTGAATAAATGCACTGTTTCATAACTTGAAGAACCTGGGACTGAGCATGTAATCAAACACACAGTAAAATGCATTACCGGAAATAAAGCACACAAGGAGTGTCAGGAGAGTCAGATGCTCACTCTGCTATAACTCGAGTGGATTGTTGAGCTGAGAATAGCACAAGATCATTACACTATGATTACTGTATATTAACTAGAAGTTCACGGACTCATACTTATGGCAGTGTTTGTGTTAAAAATACAATGTCAAGCCAGTTCATTCACTTTTTCTCATTGCTACTTTCAGAAAAGATAAAATGCAAAATCCTTTAATTGCAGTACTGTGCTCATAAAAACTAGTTTTTGTAAATCACAACACACCACATAACATGCAAAAAAAAAAAATGAAGAGAATGTAACTCAACCACTGACTTTAGTTTAGAAAACCACATGTGATTGCATTTTGACATGCCCTCATCCACTTCAGCCTCAGCTGTATTATCATCATCATTATGGAGAAAATATTGTTAGTGCTTGAACACAGAGTAGATTAGTATGCTTGAAGTCTGTCTTTGTTTCCTGGATGTCAAAGCAAAGATATCCTTGTTGTAAACGAAAGCACTATGCTGTTGGATAAAGGAAGAGCCTTCTGACATTATATATAAATGTTATATGTATATATTAAAAAAAGGGGTACAAAACCTTTTTTGGGGCACTCTACCTTACCAACAATAAATTTTGCACTATGGGACGTTCATGGCGTGATGAGGTAAAGTGTTGTTTGTGTTTTACCAAGCACAAAAGAGCTTGTACAGTATAGGATTTAAAACAAGAAAAAAAAAGCATTCAAGCTTCTGGTGATAAACCATAAACCAGAAAGGTTATCACTTCTTTTTGATGCCATCACGCTTTCCTGACTTTAGTCTGAAGCGGGGTCCTGTCCATACACTCGCATACTTCTATCTAATCTGGACATACTGTACCAGTGGCCTGAAAGGCCTCCGTACCCAATTTGGGTGATAAGTGTCTCCATCAGTGAACATAGAATGCTTTAACTGGAGATGGCCTGCGCACCAACTTTAATCTGCTACCGTGTTAGAGACTACGTCCTTTTGACTCGAAAGATGTGTCGCTTGTCTTGCATAAACCTTTTTTGCCTTTGTGCGCATTTTAAGTGAAAACACTCATGTAAGAATGGGAGGAGTGTCCAGGGACTGTTAGCCAAAGTAGAGGACGACATGCTGTGTGCTGTAACTTTTTGTGATCGCAGGAATATGCTTGAACATTTCAAAGGGAGGAAACCAGATAGTTTAGGGGCAGTGGTGGGAAATAATTCAACTGGTCAATTGTCTATTTATTAATATTAATTACAATGCATTTTAAAGTCTGTCTACCTCACTTTAGTCTTCTAAAATCCTTGCTTTTTTAATTTGTCATTAAATTAACCTGTACAAACATTCAACCTTTAAGACCCAGCCCCCAAAAATGTAGATGAAAACCAGAGTCCCTTTGCTCTCAGGTTCAGATTGAGTTACTGACAGAGTAACTGATGCTAATGGCTCTGCTATTGTGGTCAAAAGAAATACTGAGCTGTGCCCACATCTATGGTTAAAGCTGTTGAAAAGTTGCATTTTGAATTTTGATGTTTGTATACTGGTATGTGTGAGAATGTTTTCATATAAATCTATGAGAGTAAGAAATCTCTATGTAAATACCTACCCAAATATTAACATTTATGAAGTTTTGGACAGGTTCACCGCTTCTCATGTTTTTCTCACTTTCCCCCTTCATCCCTTTGTTCTTTGTGTAATTAAAAAAAATCACCCCAAGTTTGTAGTTGTGCATATGAATAACTGTTCAATTGTTATTTTGGACTTTTGTTGTTTATTTACTGCCATTTTTTATTTGTACAATAAATCATTTATTTAGCTTATTGGATTTTTTGCTTATTTCTTGTAAAGCAGCACTCCTGAACTGCACTGAACAAAAAATAGAAAATGCCAGTTTGCAGTATAACAGTAGCCGCAGCAGCAGCAGAGATGTATACATTCAACGAATAGTAATGTCAGTTAGTCAGTAATCGATCTAGATCTTTCTAACATTACAGTACGTTTGGTCAGTGTTACAGGCATATCATATTTTTAAATTCAAATTGTACATCCCAGTAAGTTTTACCAGCTCATCCTAAACTTAGCTTAGTTATAGTGAGTATTTACATAGTGGATACTTAAGCATCATTCACTTAAAGTAGTTGTAGCCTATACTAAATATTTACACCCAGTAATTGCCAGATATGCTAAGAGCTGTTGTTTATCTGCTACAGTGGACAGAATAAAGGCCAGGCACTGTCTAAACAGAGGCTCTCCCACTGGGTGGTGGGAAGCAGGTTAGTGGCCTGTAAACCTGCCTCTGTGGAGCTCATATGTCATCCCAGCAGGAGCATGCCCACGTTCTGGGTGGCAATGAGAGGGGTACCGTGACTGAAGACCTGTGCAGCAGCATCCTGGGGGGCACCAGGCACTTTTTCTAGGTATTATCACCTCATTCAGGCGTCCAGGTCCACAATGGCATCAACTATTCTTCATCTGGCTTCCAAGGTAAATCATCCATTGTTCATTCATGAGTCAACAGAAAATATAGTTACCTTTGTAACTTCTGTTGAATTTTTTGAATAGCTTCACCCTCTAAAATTGTTATTGGTGTGGTAGTAAAGTTTACATAACTAAATAGCTGATTGCTTTTGAATGGATGCAAAGCAAACAATGTACTCATTGCTATAGTCTTTATTTGCTAGGACATTTCTTAAAGTTTAAATGGTACAACATGATTTATTAAGTCATGAGTTTGTAAACTTTAGACTGCTGAAATTCACAAATAGAAATAAGAATAAAATAAATACAGAGGCATAACTCCAGTGACGTCAGCACAGCTGTGTCCCACACCTTGAGAACCACCCAGACACACTCACATTGTTACTTACCTTCCCTTGGTGGCATCCTAGTTCGTGAATAACAAGCAGCAGAGGTCGCAGAAAGCAGATTCATCGCAAGGCTAATTGGTGAAAAAAAGCATTAAGAGGACAAAGGTTTATGCTGGGGTTTGGAATGCCATTATTTGGATTTCATATCTAGCCTGACCCCATTAATATGCTACCTGATAGGGCGGCCTCTCATCAGAGAATCAATAGGGGATAAATGAGAATGAGAACGAAGCTCTTTTTGGGTACAAACACAAAGACCACCCAGTACAAGCTTGAGCAGGCTGTTGCCAGCAGTGACATAAACCTTTTGACAAATCCTCACTTGACATAAACAAACATTCACACAGTCCCCTGGCCCTCAAGTTCATCAATGTGCCATGCACATCATCAGTCATACCCACCCTACAAAGACAAGGGAGGACATTGATGGATGTTTTTATTGTTTTGCCACATAAGAAGTAGTTGTACAAGCTGGACATGAAGTGTTGGAAACTGAATGCTGCACTCAAAGCCTTAAGACCACTAACATGATGAACTCTGACCCAGCTTCATGGAATAAAGGCTAAACTATGCCATGGAAGCACTTGTGGAAAGTTAAAACAAAACAACAACAAAAAGGTACAGTACAATGGGAATATTGAACATGTTACAAAGCCCTCATGAAAGGGTGCTGGGGGCTGCCAGGGTTTAGGAGAAGCTTTATGGCAATTATAGCCATAAAGTTAAGAAAGAAGGTGACTTGGGGTCAACTCTCAATAGGTTAAATTGCTGGACACAGTCATCAGTAACACCTTTTTGTCTGGCTCAGTGACTGGCCAGTGTTTAGTGAGGGGAACTGTTCAGGAAAGATCACACACACACACACACACACTCTTATGGAGTGGAAGAATCTCACATGACAGTAGGATAAACTATGTCGACGCAGCTGAACAATCTTCACTGTAAGGTGGAGTTGTACTGATCATGAATGACTTTATTTACATGATGTGAGTATTTTTGTGAGATATAATCCATAAATCATCCACTCTGAGTGGATTAACATTTATATTTGGGATAAATTTATATAACAGAAATGGCTTCATAGTTGGAATGTTTGCATCAATGTGCGTGCACTGTCTCACAGTAGTTCTGAAAAGTTTATATAGTGTTGAGAAGTTAACTATTATGTCATTATTATTATACAACATATTACATTATAGAAAAGCACCATAAACTCTGATTCATATCTTTAATATCGGGTTTGAACTTTCACTTATGTTTCAGTCCACTGATGTTGTCATCTTCGTATTTTAATACAATTCTTCATTATGTGTATTTTTTACCTTTGACGTCCCAGAGAGGAACATCAGTGTTGTTATAGCAGTGGCATAAGAAGTGCTGTTAAATGTAGTAATGGTAAGTCATATTATTAGTTGTATTGTACTAATTGCTGTTATAGTATTTTTTTCAATAAACTTTAGCAAGACGACTTCAGCACAGTGGAGGAAATACGACAGATATCTTTCCTCAAGAGTCAGAAAAAGATTATACCTTAGGGGGGAAGTGGTTATGTAACATTTTATTGTGAACTTTAGAACTGAAGACTGAAATAAAGGGATACAAAGTAAACTGAGAAGTGAGTGAAAAGCCACAGTCTGCTGAAGCTGTCCTAGGTGTCTACACTTGCATCTTGCTACTTTGTGCTGTCACGTAGTTGTTGCTTTTAATTTACATTTAATGTTTTAATCAAATTTGCATTTTAATGTTTTATCTATTTGTTTGCATTGTGTGAAACACTTTGAATTGCCTCTGTGTATGAAATGTGCCAAATAAATAAACTTACCTTTCCTAGAAAAATGATGTATTCTCACAGTGGCACAACAGATAAATTTAAAAAAACATCTCACAGCTGAAATCAACATATGGGTCCACTTTCATTTAATTGTTCAGTGTCTCCACTCTCGTGCCCTGTGAATGACAGCTGTCACTCTTTTGTGCTCCCAGCGTACCATCTGGTTCAAAGCTGATGATTGCTGGCTGTGTCACAGAGGGTGCTGAAGTCTGGTGGGCCTGGCTGACAATCCTGCCTGCTTTGCTGGGGCATGTCGCCATACGGTCCCACAGATTCGACCTAAGGGCAAGATGGCCACTCCTCCAATGGATGAGCTCCTTTCTAACCACGAGACCCAAACAGGAAGTAGCAAATGTCTTATATATATGCTATTGTAATCTGTTCATGCTTCATCTGTTTGGTGATGACAGTCTTTTTGTTGCAGTGAGTAATTTTCATTGTTGTGATGCCAACAATATCAATGTTTTTATATCTGAGTTTCAGTTCTGATCAGTGCAGACAGATACATTGTAGAATTAAGGATTAAGAGACACCAAAGTTGTCTAAACTCAGTCTTCAAAATATTAAAAGGTGTAGCACAAGTGAGCATTTCCACTTGACAAGAACAAACAATGACAGATACTTTTCTATGTTTTAGTGTTGGAATAACGTATAAAAACATTTTATCGTTACATTTAGAAAAGGTAACAGCACTCATCATATATACTGTAATATTAATAAAAAGGTATTTTATTCAAGTCTCAGGATTAAGGCATGCATTTCAAAAGTAGCAAATGCAAAGCAGATGTAAATCTGATGATGATTAAGCATTATTTATTATAGATTAATTATCATTATTAATTTTTAAAGATTTTATAATAACAATACATACAATGTCTAAAACTTGAAAACTCTCATTTGTTTGGGAGAGAAAAATATACAAATGAGCAAAACATAAACCAAAAAATATCTCTCATTTGAAATGTGAGAAGTGAATTCTCTTTCTGGTTCTGGCAGAGATGATGAGTGAAAACATGAAACACCAGCTTCTCCTCTGCCAGTACACAACAAACTGCACATTCTGTCCACTTATTCTGAATGCTCCTCACAGCAGTGTGTGATTACTTGAAAGTCAGTCGGACATCTCTCTTTTGTCAACAACAGGAATCCACCTAAGACCTTTTCTCCCACACTGTCGTCCTGCGGTCCTGGTAATGGTCCTAAATCTACCTCACTTTTGGAACAACATCTTGAATCTGTGCAGCTTGGCTATAACTGCATATTAAAACCTACAAATATCAGATGCAATTCTGTTAATATTTATGGTTGGTAAACCTTGAGGAAAAACAAATGATAAGACAACACAACACATACATAACAAAATCACCACAATGCTTTATTTCTATAATATGAAGCAGTGACAAAGCAGCTGGTTCTTCTCTTGAGCTGTTTCAGATCAAATTCATTGGGAGGATTTAAAAAAAGAAAAAGATAAAACAGGAAGGTTAAATGAGGACACAGCTGCACTCCCTCCCTAATGTAGTAGGGCTGAAAACACTGAAATATTCCAGGTCACTGATCAAACCTTCAAAAACACAACCTCAGTCTAAACCCTTCTTCACTTGATGTGCAAGGAAATAGTAAATCAAACAAACAGAAATGATTTTCTGTGATTAATACACTCACGTCCCACATATGAGAAACTGAGGCATGATGATCTCCCATCACACTGCAGAAATTATGCATGTTATTTAACTTTTCATCATCAACTTAAGTGTATAGTTTTTCCACATTTGCCTTATATACAAAATGAATTGTTCTTTGTTGCTTGTTGTCAAGTTCTCCTTTGGTTGATGTACAAGATTTCACAATTTTTTTAGTTTTTTTCATACAGCAAAGAAGTATTTATGTTAATATTTTCTTTGGATTCACTCTTTTATAGCTTATCAGTTCCTTCTAAATACACGTAAAGTAGTTTGAAATCACCTTAAGCGTATGATTTGTGCTGTATAAATAAATTTGCCTTTGGCAAAAAGTTCACATACATCTTGAAGATGAATTGAGGATGAGTAAAAATCAGAAAGGAAGAAGTGAATAAGGCAACACTCTAGTGC